GGGGGGGGGGGGGGGTGGTGTATGGGTGATTTCGTTTGGGTAAGAATCTTTTTTTCCCGAAGTTGTGGAGATTTTTTTTTCCTTGACATATAACGGTGTAAGATTTTTTCCAGCATTATACGCCATGCCAGATACATTTTTCAGAGCAACATAAGTGCATGTCCTTCTCTATTCATAACTATTACAAAATCCTCTATACGCACCAACGCGCGCACTTGAGTGGCTTTTTTCTTTCTTTTTTTCACTTTTAACAGAAAACGCTCTGAAGGTCTTGTGTTATAATAATGAATTACGAAATTCAAACGCCTCTTAAACATAAATAGGAAAAAGGCAGCTACATTTATCGATCCTACATTTGAGTAAACTTAGGTCCTTTATGACTTTCTTTTTTCGGTATGAGAACCTAATTATTCAATACTTGTTTTAAAGACTCTATATAACTTGATATGACACTAAAATACCTGCTTCTTATAAAGGCGACCATCGGTATTTGAGGCTACAAACTTAATTAAATAAATGCAATCATTACGCTTTCGACTTTGATCGAATGAATTTTTAAAGTTTTAACTCTTAAATTCAAGACAATGCTATCAGCTTACTTTGTTTGGAAATAACAAATAAGCAATAAAGGAAGTTATTAAATAAAAAAAATGTTCACGTTAAACATTTGACGTTGAATACAGACTCAAAATAAAGTACTTGCCACTTTGTTTGTTTCGGACAACTAATACAGTAATCGAACTTTTGATTTAAGTGCTCAAATCGTTATGAATACAAACAAAAGAACGAACTCACGAGGCTCAGAGAGCAGAAAAACACGGAAGGTGCTCCGCTCACGGTTTGCTGCATTTCTTTTTTTGAAAGATGGCATAGAGGAATAGTACTGAAGAGAACAAACTTTATATCAGTTCCCGCACAAAGGGCAAAAACTTGGTATGAATTGGGACGTGGGCTTACATAATATAGCGTCCTTTAGATTTACCAAGAGAACAAGATCCCAGCTTCGACTGTGAGTGTGACTTAAACTTACTCACTCTTTCCAGTTTCTGACTGGCACATAAAGAAAATTAAAGGATAAAATTGTTGCAATAATTGATTAAAGTTACACTTGTACCCAATAATCTAAAGGTCCCTTTTCAATTTAAACCCTTCATTCCGCGGTCTGATTCACGTTCACTAAAGATTGAGGAAGAAACATTAACTGGCCCCCTTGAAAAAAAATTGATGCACACATACCTTCATCATCTTCGCTATCGGAAGAATCTTCAGCAGTGCTAGAAGCTTCTGATGAAGATCTTAGCGACTGTGGTCCTCTAACCTCTGCTTGCTGTGCTTCTACTTCACCGATTCCAAAGTGCTCAACTATAGTATGAAGGAGATTCCTTAAGTGAAAGAAATTGACTGGTCCGATTTGGGGACTGATGGCCAAATCAAGCAAATCCGTAAGACCAACTGTCATTTTGATAAAACTTATAAATAGGCGCAAGGTAGTTCATCTACACGGCCCGGCAAAACTAACCTTAAGTGCAAACAAATGACTTCGAATAGTGCCAGGCAACATCAGATCCCAAGAGGCCAAGCTATTGTTTTTTTGTGTACAATAATTCAAATAATACTAAAGAACTAACACACAGCACAGACAGAATTCAAACAATGTGACGTAAACTAATTCACATGTAAACCCTCATAATACAACTTTTGAGGTGTTGCTATGGAAATTCTACTCAATTGAAAGTCACAATTACGACGCTTAAGCTCTTCAGGCTCACTATGGAAATTGGATCATTACTTCGCCAACTTTGACCAAGAACAAAAGAGTTCATATCACTGTTTAACACTGTAAACTCCAGTGTGAAACTATATTGTCTACAATTTCCTGAAGCCGGTCAATGTCGCTTTCAAATGGAATCGCATATAAACGACTTGTAAATTACACTACAGTCTAGCACAGCCCAACTACACAATTGGAAGTACCCAAAAGCGTGTTTCTGCACGCATTGGACTACTGTTGCATATTTTATCATCGGAGACATTAATTTGTGTTGAATCTTTACTCCTTCTACAAGGGACCGTATGACAGGGGCACCCAACGACTGTTTTCTGTGAATTATCTGTTCGGAGAAGCAAATATTGCCTAGAATTTCCTGTTGCTTGAGTTCTTGATGACCGTTCCATTCAGGTACAATTTTCGAAGCTTATCTAATAACTTCCCTTCGATTTTCTGAAGTTTAACTACTTACAAGTTACTCCCCATGTTGAGCTAATTTTCGTAGAAAAAGGAAACCTCAAGTTTTCGGATTCAAAAATGTGAGCGGGAGAGGATTAAGAAAAAATCTCACTTTCGTTAAACGTTAAATTGCATCTAAAATTTTAGGGAAAATAATACTGAAGCCCTTGTAATTTCGAAAAGACTCAAGTTCCCCTAGGATGACCGAACAGATACAAATTTCATATCACCACTCCATAGAATGCGTTACTAAAGATCTAAAAGAACTCTGGATAACCCTAAAGTTTTCAATGTATTTAGGAGGAAACCGTCGTTGAGTGCTCCTGGTATGAGGAATTCACATTAATACTACTGTTCACGAGGCGTAACATATTGTGATGTAAAGACTAATTATAACCTTCAAGTTTACTAGTAATATCCAGGAGCACCATAGTTAGTAGAGGGGAGCACGTAGCGTCCATACACGCACATACGCCCGTGCGTACAGCTGAAATGTGGAAAAATATGTATTTTTTTATTTTCTGAAGGCATTTTGTCCATTTTATCATTAAAACGGAATGAGAATTATCTCTTAGTTTTAGTATTTCTTTTATAGTTTTCATTTTATTATTCCATAAACGGACGGCAAAAAACGTTAGCAGAATAGTGTGGTGAAAAACGAAAAAAAATTACCCATCTTTGACCCCTCGCAGCTTTCCCTTCGTTTTTTTTTTCTGAAAAAGTACTGAGGAAAACGCAGGAAATAGCATTTCCGAGACCATGAATTTAAAAATTTTCTGGAGGATTATGCCCCTTGTCCACCTAGTTTGAACCGCCTTCGGCGTTCTCCAACCCTTCTTCAAAATCTCGTGCTAAATAAGGCCACAGCATCTCGACTACTATTGGAGTGGAGACTGGGCTTAATGCACTAATTGCTCATGCGCTGTGTTATTCCATACTGACCAATCTTTGTTTGGTACCGCGGGAGTTAAAGATAGCATTCAAGATCTCCAAGATGCCGAGCAAAAAGAAAAAGTTTAATGCCCGATTTCCACCGGTAAATTCGTCTTTCTACTATGTTTTCTTACTTAGGTGCATAATCTAATCTTTCGTTTTTGCTTTTAAAGGCGCGGATCAAGAAAATAATGCAAACCGACGAAGACGTTGGAAAGGTTGCAGCTGCAGTACCTGTGATTATTTGTATCCTAGCTTGTAGAAACAAAACTTTTGACTTATTTGAAACCGAACTTCGTTCAGATTTTAGTATTCCCTGTTTCCTTTTTTAAATCCACATGAGATATAACATAATAAATGCACATGAGATATAACATAATAACAAGTGAAAAGATTCATTAGCTGGACTATGCCATCTCTATTTTTAGAAAACTTGGTTGGAAGAGGAAATTCATTCTTGCCTACTTTACCCATGAAGACTTCTGTGTGTTCTACGTTTTTTCCTTAATTGTTTCATTCCTCAGCTAAAGCACTCGAGATGTTTGTACAGTCCCTGGTAGAAAGGGCGAGTGAATATACGAGAGCCAGGAATGCCAAGACGATGACTACACAACATCTGTGAGTCATTTTTATTTCTTATGTTCTCTCTTCTACATATGCTTAATACTTAACCTATACCAAGGGAACTGCTTCTTACATTTTAAGTGCTATTTTTGCGTTTCCGTGATCTTTTTATGCTGTTTTGGTCCAGCTTTATTTCTGACAGCTATAATTAGGTCACATAAATTTTAACAATAGTAATATTTCTTGACACAAAGCTTTTAAGATCAATGTTCCATCTGATCTATTTGGAATGTCTGGATTTCTGTTTAACCTCTCGAGTTTAAGGAGGTTTGTATTTAAACACTTACTTTCAACTCTGTACATGGAACTATTTCACTTTAAAACCAAATTCTAAAATGATAAATCAATCGTTATACTAGTAAATTCTTGCTACTCTTGAATCATCAATATTTTATTTCTATTGTCAGTACTGAGACAATACATTCCTTCAGTGGTTATTTTGTTTAACATGCCTGTCTAGACATCACTTTACACGTAGTTAGCTGTAATGTTATGATTTGTTATGTCTTTTTGTTAACTGTGGAGCTGTAAGGTAACTGTCAGGATCATTTTGAACAAGGCAAAATTATTAAGGCTATATAGTGGAACGTCAATTGATAATATTTTTTTCATGCAAAATACCTCTCCATTTCTGACTGGCTTTAAATCCCCATCCAGTTTCTCATAACCTGCTAGCACTAACCAAATTCGGAAGATGATTACAATGATTATTCTAATGTTGATGTCAGTGGTGGAATAATTGAAGATTATCCATGGTTGACATCATGCAAGACTACAGTGCAGCAGCTTAGCTGTTCTGGTTTTGCAGAACTCAGAAAAATGGTGAAAGAGTCTGCAGCTACGAGAAATATTGGGCTTCCTGTAGTGATTAAAAATGATAACAAGAATATGCAAAACTACCACTCAATGAATGTCAACTGGTTTTGAGGGTTCAAGATCTGAAACTGCAGAGGAAGTGGCAAACTTTTTATTTTTTCTGGCCTATAGCCAGTACCCATTATGTCAACATCTGTATAAGTCCGTAAGTCTGATTCTATTGTCCTCATAGCACACGACATTAATGCAACATTCTCCAGAAAATTTGAAAAGGAGAAAAACATTGAGTAGGCAGCAACTGATAAGATCAAAAGGTGCATCTTTCACATTGCGTGATTGTGTGCAGGAATAGGTATGGTAAGGGGGCAAACCCCTTTCAGTGAGGGAGAATGGGAGCCTCCCCTGGAAAAATTTTATTTTAGGGTTCCTGAAAGGTGCATTTCAGCACGTTGCATTTAAGTGACCAGGGAAAGAAGTTAATTGTCACCTTTATTTACCCATACTTGTATCAACTGAGCAAAAGGCAAATAGTGTTGAGGACCAAAATAAAGTGAAATTTGATAGATTTGTCCTGCTTAAAAAAATTATTTTCTGTGCGGAGTTGGCGCCTCTATGTCAACTTGATGACGATTTTAGCCCATCACCAGAGGCTTAATACATGCTAGTGCTCATTTTTTTGGATGAATTTAATATGGTCATTTTTTCCTTTTTTTTAAGCCCAACAATTTAATATTATTTGTATTGTACAAGTACATTGATCATTGATGTCTAGACAGGCATGTTAAACAAAATAACCACTGAAGGAATGTATTGTCTCAGTACTGACAATAGAAATAAAGATGAAACGAATTAAGTTTTTAAACAGTTAGTAAGTTACAATCAAGATCCGCATTTGATACTTGTTGGTGCCTTTTTTTGAGGACTTTGCTAGCCCTGCATTTTTCCTTTTAATCTTTAAAAAATGTCATTATCATTAGTGTTTCAATCTTGATCTCATGCTCTTTTTTTAATGCAATTTTTTCTATTTTTTTGCATTAAAAAAGTGCATGAGATATCAGGATTCAAACACTAAAAAAATGGGAACTATAAGTTTACTCAGGCGACGATCTAGGATAAATACTGACTGATTTCCTAAACGAGCGTCAAAAAAAGGAAGCTTCTAGGGGGGTCTGGCGCATGCTTCCCCCAAAATTTTTTTTGGGATTTCAACTCCCAAAAGTCTTTTGAGTCATTCAGACAGGATATTTACTGTCTGCCAAAACTGTATGACAGATTTCAACCTGGAAGATTTTTTGGTTTAATTAAAAATATATTATTGTGAAAAATCTGACCAATTTCCATAAAACAGTGGAAATCAGTGTGGATCCACGCCTGGTGCTACAGTTTAAAAGACTTCACAAACAGCTAAGTTAGACCAACGGCATACCGAAATGAGTCAAGGTTTTCTCAAGTGACTCCAACTCCCTTATTTATTGAAATACTTTTCAGAACAATATAAACATAGGAAACAGAAAACAAACGTATTGAAACAAAAACAACAACAAAACAAAGTGGGTGGGTGAAACAAACCACTGAATTATTGAATTTTACCATTTGATAAAAGGTTTCCTTGTAGCACACTACATTACTATTTAACCTCCGGAGCAGAGGTACAAGGTTCAATAACCAGCATCAACCATTTTTTTCTATAAATGTAATAGATGTTATTTCATTTTTATGGTTACTTGCTCCAGTAACAAAAGAACTCCAAATTATTATTCCTAGGAGTTTTACAGCTTCAGAACTTGTTCTTAAGGTCAAAAATTATCATTATTCTTAAAAGCAAGCATGCCATTCCTGAATGAAAAATATTCCCTAAGGTGAAGAAAATGGTCTCGCACAATGATGCAAACAAATGGAGCCAACAGTCACTAAGTGTTTTGTATTTCATGTGTGAAGTTTTGTGGTTATGGTGTGTCAATGAACATTCATTACTTTGAAAGAATTGATCATTAGAAAATTTCCATCTTTTGATCAGGCAAAGGAATTTTTACTCCAATAATGCAATCCATTCCTGACAAATGAATAACTTACAACAGTTGCCTTAACGTGTGTCAAACTTTAATTGCTCTGTTGTGAAACATGTCATGTTTGGCACCACATTAAAATGTGTTTTTTTCCCAAGGGATTCAATGTAATAATAATTATTATTATTCCTTGGAGTTTTTTAAACTCTCAAACTTCCTCTTTGTTAATATCTTAAATTCTTTAGGTGAATAAATATTTTGTTTTAAAACTAAACACAAATCAAGTCAGATTCTTCATTCTGATAAACTGTCGCCTACTTTGCGTGTGAACAATAAAATTGTCAAACACTTTCCTTGGAATGTTTGGCGGCAAAATCTGTCATGTTTGCACCCAATAAGAACATGTCATGAACATGTCATGCTTGTCGCATGTACATGCTTAGATGCAACCGAAGGTGGAAGCTAGATCATTAGCCTGCGTAGCAAGAGTTTCCCATCGAGTTATTGCGCGAAGGTTAGAGCGGGAGCAGAAATCAAAAAGGTGGAAGGGGGAGGGGAGGGGAAAAGAGGAAACGCTTGCCTGCAAACCCCACGATTCTGGAAAACGCCGCTTGATATTTTACAGTTTGGTTCATTTGTAAATTGACAGCTCATCAAAATAGAAGATAAAACGAACAGATTACCCCTGGATTACCAGATTTGTAAAATTAATTTGTTCTCTAATAGAACACGTTCCAGGCGATTGCAGAAACTGTAAAAAAAAAGGTTTACGATAAAAGAAGGTTAAAACTTCGAGAGATTGCTGCCGAATTTCTTGTTTTTTTATTATGTGGCTTTATCTCATCTGAAATCTTGTTGAAATGTCAAAAATGATTTTTCCGGACAATTCATTCTGCTGGGTATAAGTTTTGCAGAGTGGCTGCTCTTCAGCCCGTGTCGAAACGTTCTCTACAATACATGCCACTAAATGTCCAATAAACAAAAAGAATCTTTTCATTTCAAAAAGCTTACAAATCCAGTGTTCTCCTTATCAGGCGGTAACCGGTAAAATTTACCGCTTGAAACAACACTTCTTACTGCCTGCAACCTCTTGAAGTGTTACTAAAATCCAATAAATTTTTTTAAAAAATATGCAAGTTGTGATCCAAGCCGATCCCCGCAAGAAAAGGAAGTACATACGGAAAAACAAAAAGTATACACAGCTGTTCTCCCTAATTACTTTATTTAAATGCTGACTGGCACCTTTCAAAGCACTACAGGCTCACAATTTTTTTTGTGGGCGTCTGTCCCAATTCTAAGCTTTTTCGACCAGCAGGAAAAGTTCGCGACTTCTGCGACTTGTGTTACTAAATTGACCTCAAGGCTGTGCTCTAATGGCGCCCAGTTGTCTGAGGCAACTAACATTTAGCTGCGGACAACTGAAAATAAAATTCACGGTCACCCGGCAGGGCACTCTTGCTTCTAGTGCAGTGTTCAGTTAAGTGGGCAGAAAAATTAACCATACCAGTGTTGGCTTGTTGAGTCAGAGTTTACTAAACCCTACAGAAAATGTACTCGGGCGACCAACTTGGAGGCCTGGGCACCCCAGCTGGAATGGTTGGGAGCCCGAAGAGCTCCCTGAAATTTTTATTTAGGTGACCAACTTTGAGGTCTGGGTGCCTTAGTTAAAATGCTTGGGATCCCGAAGGGCTCCCTGATATTTTCCTTAGAGCACAGCCTTGGACCTAGAGGCAAAGGCAGCCTTCATTCACAAAATTCTTTGTTTGAGGTGTTTAAAATACTTTTCAGTCAATTTGACAGGATGCTCGAAAATAAAAGCCTTCATGAACGCGAAGCCCCTCTCCTGTCGGGAGAGTGCGCCTCTGGTGCATATTTTGGCCTTACCAGTCAAGAATGGTCCCTTACCTGCTAAGCTAAAATTAAGGGAGAACACTGCAAATCGCTGGTCCATGGCAGCTTTAGCAAGTGTCAAGTACCAATGTTCTGATTTACGTTGATGTTATCTCAAACAACCAGTCCATTTTTTTCCAGTCAGATCCGCACGCCCTTATTCCCAATAATCTGGCCTTCCCTTGTCTCCACCGTACTGCTCGATCTCCCATTATACTTTGAAGACTCTGATCTCATAAACCTTTGCACAAACACGATTCAAATAAATATCAGTCCAAAGCATTTGTAATCTGCGACCACAATAAGATGAGACCAGATCTGTGACGCATGTAAACAAAGCATACCTGGTTTGATTGATGTTTCGAGTGCTAAGTAATCAACACTACCAGCACCACACCAATCAGAAGCTGCGTTTGTGGGTGAACGCACTTTTTCAAAAACATGAGGTTTGCGGGCAAGCGTTTCCTTCTTTCCCCTCCCCCTCCCCCTCCCCGGTCATTCCTTTTTTTTGCTCTTGTCCCAACTTTCTAGACGACCTCGCGTGGCAACACTTGCTACGCAAGCTACTAGATCATCTATTAAGTTTATTTGTGTTAGGTTTTAATGAGGTGTACAAGTGACTCAAATACTAGCTATATATTGGTCATAATTTTGAAGAACAATTTTAATTATCATTCGAAGCAAATTTTTCTTCCTTTTCATTGGCTGAAAGCCCACCACGTGACCTGCCAATAACTGCCTACAAATAACGGTCTGCTCATGCACAATGTCATCCAACTGTGTTTGGCTGCAAATAATATTTTGCTCATGCGTTACATTCTTGTGTGAAAAAAGGCAGATCGCTTCGCTTCCCGAAGATGTTCATTGAAAAACAAACTTGGTGATCGAATGATAAAACAATTATTGAACTCGGTTATCACAAAATATTGTGATTTGCCAGTGTCTCGCACATCAATTATTTGCCTCAGCCTTCGGCTTCGGCAAATAATAGATCTGACAAATTACTATATTTTGCTCAACCTCGTCCAATAATTGTTAATTATTTACTTAACTAACAAACATTTTTTAAAACATCAACTGGCAAGAAACTGTTGTGAATGCGGATTGAATAATCATTGCACTTTGTCAGTATCAAGAATATTAGAAGGATCATCTTTTCAAAAGATAGACTATAAGAAGTTGAAAAATTAGTGAAAACTAAGATGTATGATTTTGCCCAAAAGCATGTAACCCTGAAGCATCTAAATTTCCCTTATTTGGCTTGAGAGTCATCCCTGTCAATCCCTGTCTAAAAAGATAGCTAATAGCATGTTTTTCAGTCCTTAACAGTCCTCCAAGTATGTCCATAACCAAGAGAGAATAATCTAAGAGAGGGAATCCCTATGCGCCATAATAATTATTTGAAATCTATGTAAAGTTGTATGTAAAATTTGTGTGCCGTGAAGGTTGTTTTTGTCAGTTGTTTTTGTGACCTGCACAGTCTAGTTTCACTGAACGTGACATGTTTCACAGCCAAACATTTGAAGTTTGACAACCATTATAGCAATTATTGCACCAAAGATTTATGTTGTTGACATTTTTCTTATTAGCGAGTTCCCATCATTATTTTATACCAATGAATTTTATTTAGAAAAGATTGCAGTATTGGAGTCAAAATTTCACTTTAATAAATTAAAGATTGGGATTTTCTAACGGTAGCTCATTTGAAGTAACGAGTGTTATATGCTCACACACCGTACATGTAAACATTCAAAGGCAAATAGTTCACATGTGAAATACAAAACCCTTAGTAGGGGGCTGGCTTCAGTCGTTTATGTTAATGTGCAAGATATTTTTTCTCTCTTTCCAGGAATATTCCTCATTCAGACACAGCACAAGTGCATTTAAGAATAGTTCTTAAATGCACTCCAAAGAATAGTTATTATTCTTTGGAGTTTTAAAGTCAATATTGTCTTCTTAACGTCTAAATACTTGCGAGGAATTCTGCTGTGCAAACACAAGTAAGGTCAAATGCTTCAAGCTGCTAAACAGTCCCTTACATTGCACTTAAACATTCGTCTAACGCTGTTAGAAATTTAAAATAATGTTGGGCAGCAAAACATCAAGTTCACCCGTCATGTTGCTTGCTGTGCGCAGGCCTCCTGCTGTGCATGATCGGCAGTGAAATGAATTACCCACTAAGTTTAAAATAACATGATGCCATTCTTACCAACTATTGAGGTATCATCCTTACAAGAGTCATGCACTATGACACAGAACCAAGAATAGATTTAAAATAATTTATATGGGAAGGTCATGCATGGGGAATTTGCTCTCTTAGGTTATTCTCTCTTGCCATGACTTAATGGTATAGGCTGAGCCATTTACATTTAAATGTTATATGACATAAACAACAGGTAAAAAAATTTACATTTACGATTAGTGAAGCTGGCGAGTGTGTTGTCATTTGCACATGCTAAGCTGCGCTATGGTGTGTACGAATAATTTGCAAAGTAAAAACTTTTTGTAAATAAATTTTCTTGCTTGATAAGTAGTTTTCCATCTCAGAGGAAATTGTAAGACATTTTACATTTTATTTTGAATGGCCTCTGTACATGTGCATTTCTTGATGCTAAGATAGCAAACTTAGAAAACTAGGAGATAAAAAGAAAAGTTGCATAATGTTGTGCTTTTGAGCTTGGGCTAGCCTTCATCAAGCCTGTAAGATACAATCACGTGTATTTGACTTTGTATTGTCAGGAAGAAGTCAATTTTGGCAATAATATTCTGAGTTTGGTTCAATTTCACTACGTAATACTGTAATTGCCCCCAAGGATTTCCAAAGCACTCACGCAACAATCCCGTGTATGAATAATTTCATATTAGGAAGTAAATTTTGATTGGTTCTCCAAAAAAAACCTGCATTGGAACAGAGTTCTCTATACACTTTAGGGTTATATGCTTCTGTTTTGTCCCATCTCTACAGGAAGCGGTGCATTACATCAGAAAACCAATTTGACTTTTTGAAAGATTTAGTGGCAAATGTTCCAGATCTCCCTTCCAATGAAGAAGAAAGAGATGGAGAACCAAAGCCAAAAAGGTATGGAATACCTGGTGTGTGTGAAGTACATGTACCTCATGTTGAAACAGAAGAGTATCATACAACTGTAGCTTAAAGTTTTAATAATCATTCATCATACAATAAAATATTGTCCAAACAGTGACTTGTTTGACTCTTCACCGGATATTGACCATATACTTACCTGACAATAACTGACATTGAACATTTTCATAAGTCATTGCTAGCATGCCAACCTTGATTGGTTTTCTCTCAGCAAGGTTGTTAAATGGACTAATCAGGTGCAAACTGGGTTGGTACAATTTCAGTAACAGCTTATTTCTGAAACATTTCAAGAACTGTTTTTTAGTTTGGTCAAACTGTTTTTAAAAAATAAGGATTACAAATAATATTGTATTAAGTAAGCTGTGTTGAAATTCATAAGGAAATCTAAATAACTGGATAATATTTTTGGGTAAACCTACTTAATTCAAAACTTAGATTGTGTTTGAAATCATTCGTGTTGCCATAGCAATGATTGTAATCTGAACTTGAGCCTCAAATATTTATTGTTTTATAAATTTATTTTGGCCATGCCAAATTTGAGCCTTACATGTATAGAGCTGTTTTCACTTGACTGTCGTAAAACCAAAACCAAAGTAAATACACTAGCCAACCAAAGGGCGTAGTAAAACCAAAACCAAAACCAAAACCAATCCCTTTCGACAGTCAAGTGAAAACCGCTCTATCACAGTTGATGTCAGTGGTGGAATAATTGAAGATTATCCATGGTTGACATCATGCAAGACTACAGTGCAGCAGCTTAGCTGTTCTGGTTTTGCAGAACTCAGAAAAATGGTGAAAGAGTCTGCAGCTACGAGAAATATCGGGCTTCCTGTAGTGATTAAAAGTGATAACAAGAATATGCAAAACTACCACTCAATGAATGTCAACTGGTTTTGAGGGTTCAAGATCTGAAACTGCAGAGGAAGTGGCAAACTTTTTATTTTTTCTGGCCTATAGCCAGTACCCATTATGTTAACATCTGTATAAGTCCGTAAGTCTGATTCTATTGTCCTCATAGCACACGACATTAATGCAGCATTCTCCAGAAAATTTGAAAAGGAGAAAAACATTGAGTAGGCAGCAACTGATAAGATCAAAAGGTGCATCTTTCACATTGCATGATTGTGTGCAGGAATAGGTATGGTAAGGGGGCAAACCCCTTTCAGTGAGGGAGAATGGGAGCCTCCCCTGGAAAAATTTTATTTTAGGGTTCCTGAAAAGTGCGTTGCATTTAAGTGACCAGGGAAAGAAGTTAATTGTCACCTTTATTTACCCATACTTGTATCAACTGAGCAAAAGACAAATAGTGTTGAGGACCAAAATAAAGTGAAATTTGATAGATTTGTCCTGCTTAAAAAAATTATTTTCTGTGCGGAGTTGGCGCCTCTATGTCAACTTGATGACGATTTTAGCCCATCACCAGAGGTTTAATACATGCTAGTGCTCATTTTTTTGGATGAATTTAATATGGTCATTTTTTCCTTTTTTTTAAGCCCAACAATTTAATATTATTTGTATTGTACAAGTACATTGATCACTTCGAAGATAATTAGATGAAAAGAATTAAGTTTTTAAACAGTTAGTAAGTTACAATCAAGATCCGCATTTGATACTTGTTGGTGCCTTTTTTTTTAGGACTTTGCTAGCCCTGCATTTTTCCTTTTAAGCTTTAAAAAATGTCATTATCATTAGTGTTTCAATCTTGATCTCATGCTCTTTTTTTAATGCAATTTTTTCTATTTTTTGCGTTAAAAAAGTGCATGAGATATCAGGATTCAAACACTAAAAAAATGGGAACTATAAGTTTACTCAGGCGACGATCTAGGATAAATACTGACTGATTTCCTAAACGAGCGTCAAAAAAAGGAAGCTTCTAGGGGGGTCTGGCGCATGCTTCCCCCAAAATTTTTTTTGGGATTTCAACTCCCAAAAGTCTTTTGAGTCATTCAGACAGGATATTTACTGTCTGCCAAAACTGTATGACAGATTTCAACCTGGAAGATTTTTTGGTTTAATTAAAAATATATTATTGTGAAAAATCTGACCAATTTCCATAAAACAGTGGAAATCAGTGTGGATCCACGCCTGGTGCTACAGTTTAAAAGACTTCACAAACAGCTAAGTTAGACCAACGGCATACCGAAATGAGTCAAGGTTTTCTCAAGTGACTCCAACTCCCTTATTTATTGAAATACTTTTCAGAACAATATAAACATAGGAAACAGAAAACAAACGTATTGAAACAAAAACAACAACAAAACAAAGTGGGTGGGTGAAACAAACCACTGAATTATTGAATTTTACCATTTGATAAAAGGTTTCCTTGTAGCACACTACATTACTATTTAACCTCCGGAGCAGAGGTACAAGGTTCAATAACCAGCATCAACCATTTTTTTCTATAAATGTAATAGATGTTATTTCATTTTTATGGTTACTTGCTCCAGTAACAAAAGAACTCCAAATTATTATTCCTAGGAGTTTTACAGCTTCAGAACTTGTTCTTAAGGTCAAAAATTATCATTATTCTTAAAAGCAAGCATGCCATTCCTGAATGAAAAATATCCCCTAAGGTGAAGAAAATGGTCTCGCACAATGATGCAAACAAATGGAGCCAACAGCCACTAAGTGTTTTGTATTTCACGTGTGAAGTTTTGTGCTTATGGTGTGTCAATGAACATTCATTACTTTGAAAGAAGTGATCATTAGAAAATTTCCATCTTTTGATCAGACAAAGGAATTTTTACTCCAATAATGAAATCCATTCCTGACAAATGAATAACTTACAACAGTTGCCTTAACGTGTGTCAAACTTTAATTGCTCTGTTGTGAAACGTGCCATGTTTGGCACCATATTAAAATGTGTTTTTTTCCCAAGGGATTCAATGTAATAATAATTATTATTATTCCTTGGAGTTTTTTAAACTCTCAAACTTCCTCTTTGTTATTATCTTAAATTCTTTAGGTGAATAAATATTTTGTTTTAAAACTAAACACAAATCAAGTCAGATTCTTCATTCTGATAAACTGTCGCCTACTTTGCGTGTGAACAATAAAATTGTCAAACACTTTCCTTGGAATGTTTGGCGGCAAAATCTGTCATGTTTGCACCCAATAAGAACATGTCATGAACATGTCATGCTTGTCGCATGTACATGCTTAGATGCAACCGAAGGTGGAAGCTAGATCATTAGCCTGCGTAGCAAGAGTTTCCCATCGAGTTATTGCGCGAAGGTTAGAGCGGGAGCAGAAATCAAAAAGGTGGAAGGGGGAGGGGAGGGGAAAAGAGGAAACGCTTGCCTGCAAACCCCACGATTCTGGAAAACGCCGCTTGATATTTTACAGTTTGGTTCATTTGTAAATTGACAGCTCATCAAAATAGAAGATAAAACGAACAGATTACCCCTGGATTACCAGATTTGTAAAATTAATTTGTTCTCTAATAGAACACGTTCCAGGCGATTGCAGAAACTGTAAAAAAAAAGGTTTACGATAAAAGAAGGTTAAAACTTCGAGAGATTGCTGCCGAATTTCTTGTTTTTTTATTATGTGGCTTTATCTCATCTGAAATCTTGTTGAAATGTCAAAAATGATTTTTCCGGACAATTCACTCTGCTGGGTATAAGTTTTGCAGGGTGGCTGCTCTTCAGCCCGTGTCCAAACGTTCTCTACAATACATGCCACTAAATGTCCAATAAACAAAAAGAATCTTTTCATTTCAAAAAGCTTACAAATCCAGTGTTCTCCTTATCAGGCGGTAACCGGTAAAATTTACCGCTTGAAACAACACTTCTTACCGCCTGCAACCTCTTGAAGTGTTACTAAAATCCAATAAATTTTTTAAAAAAATATGCAAGTTGTGATCCAAGCCGATCCCCGCAAGAAAAGGAAGTAAATATGGAAAAACAAAAAGTATACACAGCTGTTCTCCCTAATTACTTTATTTAAATGCTGACTGGCACCTTTCAATGCACTGCAGGCTCACAATTTTTTTGTGGGCGTCTGTCCCAATTTGAAGCTTTTTCGACCAGCAGGAAAAGTTCGCGACTTCTGCGACTTGTGTTACTAAGTTGACCTCAAGGCTGTGCTCTAATGGCGCCCGGTTGTCTGAGGCAACTAACATTTAGCTGCGGACGACTGAAAAAAAATTCCCGGTCACCCGGCGGGGCACTCTTGCTTCTAGTGCAGTGTTCAGTTAAGTGGGCAGAAAAATTAACCATACCAGTGTTGGCTTGTTGAGTCAGCGTTTACTAAACCCTACAGAAAATGTACTCGGGCGACCAACTTGGAGGCCTGGGCACCCCAGCTGGAATGGTTGGGAGCCCGAAGGGCTCCCTGAAATTTTTATTTAGGTGACCAACTTTGAGGTCTGGGCGCCTTAGTTAAAATGCTTGGGATCCCGAAGGGCTCCCTGATATTTTCCTTAGAGCACAGCCTTGGACCTAGAGGCAAAGGCAGCCTTCATTCACAAAATTCTTTGTTTTGAGGTGTTTAAAATACTTTTCAGTCAATTTGACAGGATGCTCGAAAATAAAAGCCTTCATGAACGCGAAGCCCCTCTCCTGTCGGGAGAGTGCGCCTCTGGTGCATATTTTGGCCTTACCAGTCAAGAATGGTCCCTTACCTGCTAAGCTAAAATTAAGGGAGAACACTGCAAATCGCTGGTCCATGGCAGCTTTAGCAAGTGTCAAGTACCAATGTTCTGATTTACGTTGATGTTATCTCAAACAACCAGTCCATTTTTTTCCAGTCAGATCCGCACGCCCTTATTCCCAATAATCTGGCCTTCCCTTGTCTCCACCGTACTGTTCGATCTCCCATTATACTTTGAAGACTCTGATCTCATAAACCTTTGCACAAACACGATTCAAATAAATATCAGTCCAAAGCATTTGTAATCTGCGACCACAATAAGATGAGACCAGATCTGTGACGCATGTAAACAAAGCATACCTGGTTTGATTGATGTTTCGAGTGCTAAGTAATCAACACTACCAGCACCACACCAATCAGAAGCTGCGTTTGTGGGTGAACGCACTTTTTCAAAAACATGAGGTTTGCGGGCAAGCGTTTCCTTCTTTCCCCTCCCCCTCCCCCTCCCCGGTCATTCCTTTTTTTTGCTCTTGTCCCAACTTTCTAGACGACCTCGCGTGGCAACACTTGCTACGCAAGCTACTAGATCATCTATTAAGTTTATTTGTGTTAGGTTTTAATGAGGTGTACAAGTGACTCAAATAATAGCTATATATTGGTCATAATTTTGATGAACAATTTTAATTATCATTCGAAGCAAATTTTTCTTCCTTTTCATTGGCTGAAAGCCCACCACGTGACCTGCCAATAACTGCCTACAAATAACGGTCTGCTCATGCACAATGTCATCCAACTGTGTTTGGCTGCAAATAATATTTTGCTCATGCGTTACATTCTTGTGTGAAAAAAGGCAGATCGCTTCGCTTCCCGAAGATGTTCATTGAAAAACAAACTTGGTGATCGAATGATAAAACAATTATTGAACTCGGTTATCACAAAATATTGTGATTTGCCAGTGTCTCGCACATCAATTATTTGCCTCAGCCTTCGGCTTCGGCAAATAATAGATCTGACAAATTACTATATTTTGCTCAACCTCGTCCAATAATTGTTAATTATTTACTTAACTAACAAACATTTTTTAAAACATCAACTGGCAAGAAACTGTTGTGAATGCGGATTGAATAATCATTGCACTTTGTCAGTATCAAGAATATTAGAAGGATCATCTTTTCAAAAGATAGACTATAAGAAGTTGAAAAATTAGTGAAAACTAAGATGTATGATTTTGCCCAAAAGCATGTAACCCTGAAGCATCTAAATTTCCCTTATTTGGCTTGAGAGTCATCCCTGTCAATCCCTGTCTAAAAAGATAGCTAATAGCATGTTTTTCAGTCCTTAACAGTCCTCCAAGTATGTCCATAACCAAGAGAGAATAATCTAAGAGAGGGAATCCCTATGCGCCATAATAATTATTTGAAATCTATGTAAAGTTGTATGTAAAATTTGTGTGCCGTGAAGGTTGTTTTTGTCAGTTGTTTTTGTGACCTGCACAGTCTAGTTTCACTGAACGTGACATGTTTCACAGCCAAACATTTGAAGTTTGACAACCATTATAGCAATTATTGCACCAAAGATTTATGTTGTTGACATTTTTCTTATTAGCGAGTTCCCATCATTATTTTATACCAATGAATTTTATTTAGAAAAGATTGAAAAGATTGGGATTTTCTAACGGTAGCTCATTTGAAGTAACGAATGTTATATGCTCACACACCGTACATGTAAACATTCAAAGGCAAATAGTTCACATGTGAAATGCAAAACCCTTAGTAGGGGGCTGGCTTCAGTCGTTTATGTTAATGTGCAAGATATTTTTTCTCTCTTTCCAGGAATATTCCTCATTCAGACACAGCACAAGTGCATTTAAGAATAGTTCTTAAATGCACTCCAAAGAATAGTTATTATTCTTTGGAGTTTTACAGTCAATATTGTCTTCTTAACGTCTAAATACTTGCGAGGAATTCTGCTGTGCGAACACAAGTAAGGTCAAATGCTTCAAGCTGCTAAACAGTCCCTTACATTGCACTTAAACATTCGTCTAACGCTGTTAGAAATTTAAAATAATGTTGGGCAGCAAAACATCAAGTTCACCCGTCATGTTGCTTGCTGTGTGCAGGCCTCCTGCTGTGCATGATCGGCAGTGAAATGAATTACCCACCAAGTTTAAAATAACATGATGCCATTCTTACCAACTATTGAGGTATCATCCTTACAAGAGTCATGCAGTATGACACAGAACCAGGAATAGATTTAAAATAATTTATATGGGAAGGTCATGCATGGGGAATTTGCTCTCTTAGATTATTCTCTCTTGCCATGACTTAATGGTATAGGCTGAACCATTTACATTTAAATGTTATATGACATAAACAACAGGTAAAAAAATTTACATTTACGGTTAGTGAAGCTGGCAAGTGTGTTGTCATTTGCACATGCTAAGCTGCGCTATGGTGTGTACGAATAATTTGCAAAGTAAAAACTTTTTGTAAATAAATTTTCTTGCGTGATAAGTAGTTTTCCATCTCAGAGGACATTGTAAGACATTTTACATTTTATTTTGAATAGCCTCTGTACATGTGCATTTCTTGATGCTAAGATAGCAAACTTAGAAAACTAGGAGATAAAAAGAAAAGTTGCATAATGTTGTGCTTTTGAGCTTGGGCTAGCCTTCATCAAGCCTGTAAGATACAATCACGTGTATTTGACTTTGTATTGTCAGGGAGAAGTCAATCCTGGCATTTTGGCAATAATATTCTGAGTTTGGTTCAATTTCACTACGTAATACTGTAATTGCCCCCAAGGATTTCCAAAGCACTCACGCAACAATCCCGTGTATGAATAATTTCATATTAGGAAGTAAATTTTGATTGGTTCTCCAAAAAAAACCTGCATTGGAACAGAGTTCTCTATACACTTTAGGGTTATATGCTTCTGTTTTGTCCCATCTCTACAGGAAGCGGTGCATTACATCAGAAAACCAATTTGACTTTTTGAAAGATTTAGTGGCAAATGTTCCAGATCTCCCTTCCAATGAAGAAGAAAGAGATGGAGAACCAAAGCCAAAAAGGTATGGAATACCTGGTGTGTGTGAAGTACATGTACCTCATGTTGAAACAGAAGAGTATCATACAACTGTAGCTTAAAGTTTTAATAATCATTCATCATACAATAAAATATTGTCCAAACAGTGACTTGTTTGACTCTTCACTGGATATTGACCATATACTTACCTGACAATAACTGACATTGAACATTTTCATAAGTCATTGCTAGCATGCTAACCTTGATTGGTTTTCTCTCAGCAAGGTTGTTAAATGGACTAATCAGGTGCAAACTGGGTTGGTACAATTTCAGTAACAGCTTATTTCTGAAACATTTCAAGAACTGTTTTTTAGTTTGGTCAAACTGTTTTTAAAAAATAAGGATTACAAATAATATTGTATTAAGTAAGCTGTGTTGAAATTCATAAGGAAATCTAAATAACTGGATAATATTTTTGGGTAAACCTACTTAATTCAAAACTTAGATTGTGTTTGAAATCATTCGTGTTGCCATAGCAATGATTGTAATCTGAACTTGAGCCTCAAATATTTATTGTTTTATAAATTTATTTTGGCCATGCCAAATTTGAGCCTTACATGTATAGAGCTGTTTTCACTTGACTGTCGTAAAACCAAAACCAAAGTAAATACACTAGCCAACCAAAGGGCGTAGTAAAACCAAAACCAAAACCAAAACCAATCCCTTTCGACAGTCAAGTGAAAACCGCTCTAACCGCAATGAGTCTTAAATAACACCCCAATGAATTGGAACTACTCAACAGTTTGACCAGCTACAGCTGCTGCTGACTTCTATACAGTGTAATGCTGACCACAATATTTGGATTGTCACCAGGTCATTAAAATGTTTAAAGTTATGGTTACTGTAATACTTTCAGAAAAAGGACTCCTAAACCTCCCACCCAAAAAAAAGAAAGGAAGAAATCAGAGAAAAGAAAACCTCAAGCTACCACAGTGTCAGATGACTCTGAAGAGGAACTTGATTCTGAGGTACAAATATTTAAGTTAATTTTGTGTTGTTCACTATGTACAATATGAACAGTGCTGCACAGCCTTATGGGCACAAAGTCATTAAATTGAAGGTTGCATTGCATAAACCACCATCATTTTGAGAAATGGTCCATAGTACAGGAGAACAAACGAAATGATGGATCAATAGTTTGAAGTAATTTAAACCTTATCCAGCAATATCCCACTCAAACATATCATGGCCAACAATACTGGATGAAGTTGGACCAATAAGCTAGTTCCATTTGTACAGAGCTTAAAAACGAAAACATTCACGTGATTGTTTGTTTGATGACCAGGAAGAAGAGTCATCATCTGAAGGAACAAGTAATCATAACAGTGCTACAAATACCACGTTCAACTCTTCCAGAAGTACACCTTTACCATTGTCAGTACCTTCTATTACACTAACGAGACCCAGTACAGATGATACTTGTAATCAACAGTAAGTGTCCTTTTCCAATGTTATTTTTAATAAAACAGTGGGGTCTCAATATCGTATACTAATACTAAAATTAGGGTTTTGTGTTTGTCCATGTTAGATTCTTTCATTTTGTAACAAAGCATGTGTTATTGTGTTCAGTTCACTGATTAGCTATTTTCATGCATGGTAGAAAAGTTGATCTTGGAATAACTGAATTCATTTGAGCCTTCTGGGTGGGACCTTGAAATAGGGGCCTCCAGAGTTTAAACAGATCTTTTTGTAAAAGACCAGGGGCCCGTTTCTCGAAAGTCCCGGTAACTTTTCGAGCCCGAAAACATACATTCAAATCGAAGTGTAAAGAATAAGAGCACGGGTCCTGGCTAGCAAACTACTTCATTTTGTTTTATTAACTGATAGTTTTATCATGTTATGGCGCACAGAACCGTGTGTGTATGTGTGTGTGTGTTCCTTTATTGTATTATTCATCAGAATGTCTGTATTTGTTGTCAGATCTAAAGCACCATCTGTTTCTATGGACATGCCGCAGCAGCTTAACCAAATGTCTACTGCAGGCATGATGGGAAACTCATTACATGATGAAGATGATGATTATGACTCGTGAAAATAATAATAACTATTTGATAGACTCTGATTGCCCAAAATATTTTACTTATTTTTCCCTGCTGGCAGAGTCTACTTTTCTGTTTATTATTGGCAAGAGTAGGGAACTTATTTTTAATAATATACCTTTTTACTGCTCCATTTGTGTCTCATAGTACTAAATGTGCGGTGAGTTTTCGTAGATATTGAGCTAGGATTGCTTTGCCAGATGGGTCAATAGCCCCGTATTTTTTTCTTTTTTGACGTAAACCAGTGAGCGAAAACCCTTTGACACCGCTGATTTGTTAAAAACTAAGGAATATAAAGCTCTGCAAAGGCCGCAAAATTTTTACAGATGTTTGTTTGGTGACGGGCAAGTTCTACCCTACGAACAGAGTCTCCTTCAATCTTCCTAGACAAGTTGGTCAGATGAAGGTAAGATCGAAGTGATTCTGCAAGTTCGTGCCTTCCACCATAAAATTTGGAGATTTTACAGAGCAATATCTTCACGTATCACTTTGAAAAACTTGGAATATTCACTTTTTTTAGGGTGCTTCTTAAGCGGTCATGATGGATATTCGCCAACTATTGTTTCTGTTCAAAATATGAAAATATGTGTAAGGGAGGGAAGGGTCTATTGAAGTTTCATAGTGTACTTTATTATAGGAAATTTACGCGACTTAATTCAAGTCGAATTTAACAGAAAACGGCTTTCAAATAAAGGAAATGGACGCAAAAGAGGGGTTAACATTAAAATGAAGGAAATTAACGCGACGTTGACAAAGAAAGAAAACTTGTTCAGACAACAGGAACAAAGTTAAACGTATCATCTTAAATGGAAACTTTGTTCGTGGTACTTAACCTAAATTAACACACGAAGGAGAAGAAGCGAAAAAAAAACTGACCACTTCGAGGGTTCTTGACAGTTTCCCTGATACTGGTGGATCTCACCCTGTTAAAATACTTCTCTTTCTTAGGTGTCAAGAATCTCAAAAGTGAATCGTGAATTTGGAGCCAAAATAATGGAAATTACGGTCGCCGAACAAAAATTAACGCGAATTTTTGAAATTCACGTTAATTTCATGAAGCGTTAATTCCTGTAATAAAGTATGCGCCAACCTTGTTATCTGCCAGGATATGTCGATATGGAATATGTTCAAGGCAAGTTTTCCCTCTTTGACAGCCTTTCTAATTTCTTAGAAAAGTTAAAGTCTTCTGTTTTGTTTTTGTTCCTTCCGATTTGATGCGGTAGTATGATTGTAAAGATAATGGATAAATGGCTATAATTATTGTATTTTTACAAAGAATAACAGAAAACTTGTAAATATCTCATGTGCCAATGCAACTTAATTTCAATAGCTGGGACAATATTTTATAGACTACAAATAGTCTCTTATTTGGTCAGGGATAATATGCAGTCATCTTCATCGTGGGTGCCGGGCACGGTGCTTTAATCCTCACGCATTTCCTCTGGTATTTCACTTGTTGTATTTTTCCTGAGGACTAGTCGTCATCTACATATACGGTCCATTTAAGAAAGATTTTCATGTCAGCCCCTTGTGCTTTTACTTTAAAAATAATAAAAATGAATAAATTCGTGGGTTTTTTTGCAGTTTTGTCGCAGCCGTGCAGGACCCTGGTGCGTTCCCTTTGTCGAGTAAACTTAAAATTTGGTTAATTCTCACCCTAGTCGTGCAGATACCACAACGAAATTCGCAAAAAAAGCGTGATACACATGCAGAGTTGTTGTTCTGTTTACTGCTATTATTTTGAAGTAGTTTACACGTTCATGTTCCCGTTCCCGTTGCCGTTACCGTCGTAGTCTCTTAAGGAAAAAGAAAGAAAGGAAGAAGGAGACATGGCCAACGGCTTAATACCGCCACCCAATGAAATTATCATCTGAACTGAGACCAGCACGATCTTACTATTTTTTTTTAAAGATCCTGGGGCTAGTTAAATGAAACCCAACATTAGACTTTTGTTAAAACAAAGTTTTAAGGTCGGAACACACTAGGCGACAAGTTGCAGCAACACGTTGCGGCGATAGATCGCTCCGTGTGTACAGGTCAGGTCGGCGACGCGTCTCTCAGCGGCAAATCGCTTCGTGTGTACTGGAGAACCTTTTGTGAAAATATTTGTCTCTACAACAGATTTTGTCGCCGCAATAAATCTCACACACTTCAAGCTGTCGGAGATGGGGATTAGGTGCAGTGTTATTAAGCGGTTAAAGGAACAGTATTCCGTTACTGCGCATGCACCAAACTTTGATTTTTGGACAGGATGTCGCGAAATTAATAGATGCGAGGAGAGTAAGAGAACCTTGAAAAATCCGTTTACATCGCGCTTTGCCGAGTTCGGTACTACCAGGGTACTACACTAAAACTTCTCAGGATTACAGATCAATGATATATTGTTCCCGTTGAGTTTCGATTTGAGCGAAATAGGAATTTTTTGGAGTTGCTTTTATTGCCGTTGGCCGGATGACCAAAAGATAGGAAGCGCTTTTATGCCGATTGAAGGCTTATTGTTCTGCCAGCTTCCATACAAGCTCAGACAATTGTGAAAGGAATACGCAGAAATGAAACAGCAACAATAGACTGTAAGAAAGAAACCATTAAGACATGAATGTGACTGAGGAGATCTTGTGGAATTAAGCTTCGTGAAGCAGAATGTTTTGCAACGACGCGTTAGTAAACTTTTAAATGAACCTCCCGACGGCCTACAAAATCAAGAACAAACAGGCGCTACATGTGTAGAAAAACTAGTGCAATGAAATCATAATGTAATTTTTGACTAACCTCTGCGATAATTCATCGCGCTAAGATTGCATTTTTATTGATATCTTTCAAACGTTTGAGGCTAGAACGCGAGCAAATCAGGCAAATATTACTGAACTTGGAACAATTGACCTCTGACACGAGTTTCACATTAGAAAAGCTTTTTTTAAAGCGAGCGGAACGAGATTTTCGGGTCGCGAGGCGCCCCTGCTAGCGACAAAATTGCGATGAGTCTTCTTGCCGCGAGCCAAATTTTACAGAAGACGAAAACTTCTTCGAAAGTCTAAAATATTACTTGAGAATGTAAACAACAAATCTCCGTCGGCGGTGCGGTCCGGAAGGAAATCTTGTCGAGTCAATATGACAGTTCTATTGTCTTTTGTGCGTGTGCGCACAATCGGGACACTGTCCCTTCAAAGTCCCTTCAAGCTTCTATCTAAGTGGACTCCAGTGAATTCCGGGGTACCATAAGGCACCAAGTTTGGCCCAATTCTTTCCTTACAAACTATGGCATTAAGATCTCCTCTAGGTATAAGTGTTTCTTTTGGTCGTCGATGCAGCGGGACCTTGACGATTTATTAAAATGGGCAGATAGGGTTAAATTATTTGGAACCCGAGAAAGCTATCGAGTTCGCAAATTTATTCGCAAATATAAGGAAACTGGAGGTGGAGAAGAAAAAAAAAAGGAACAGTCAAATTTGTAGATAGGGGAACACATGAAAAAGGGGACTTAAGAAAACAAAAAGTACAAGTACAGCTATCATTCCCTATAAACAATGATAACTAGTTATTTGATTTACGGGTTTCATTTGAGGAGACGAAAGCAAGGTTAAGGATAGCTTAAGTTTTATCTGCGAAAAGGCTCGTAAGAATGTTAATTTCATACGTTTGTGATTTCTTATTTCATAACGGGAAACATCTTACAGAAAAGTAAGAGCGTACACATCTAAAACTTAAGATGGTCAACGTCTTAAAGGCTCTTTAACTTAAGACTCTCTTACGATAATGCCGCCTTAGGCTTAAATTATGAATGTGAAGATCTTAGGTTTTTACGGAGTATCCGAGATTTTACCAACAACCGATGAAGTAAGGGACAGACCGTTAGATAAGTGCATGATGAGGGGAAAACAACAACAACAACAACAACAAAATCATGGACGCCAAGTTGCAAGCCAGCCAAAGCTGAAAAATGTTGCAGAAAGAGAGTGAACCTTCAAGGTATAACAACAGGTGATAATAGAGCCAAACTGCCTGACAGAAAGTGATATAAGCGAGTAACCCACCCAACCCCTCTCCACCCAGACCCTCAACAGTCCTTGGATCCATGTCAACCATCAGGTGTAAAATGAGTTGATATGAGTTCAGTCAATCCCATAATCCAATGAATAACGCGAGTATGGATGTCCGAAATGACTTCATAGTGAGGCAAATGTACATATTGTATGTTATATACTTTATTCGAATGAAGAATGATCATCGCAGTTGTGAACGCAATTGCATAAATTGCGTTCACAGCTGCGAGGATCATTCTTCATTTCATTTCATTTCCGTAGTTCTTATATGATTTATTTCATATTCATCTATCATATGCTTTATTGCCGTACCTTAATTCAATGAACAATATATACCAAACCAACGTTTATCTTTTTATGATGGTTGTGGGAGAGGAATAACAGAGGCTAGGGATTATAAGTTTGCACGGGGAAGTCTTCCACTCCAAATGGTATCCTCCTCTCCCACATGGTATACATCCAGGAAAACCTGTTAAATTAGAGTTGTTGTGTTGTCTGTGTAGTGTAGTGTATCCTTTTTTATTATATAAACACCAGTGAAATACCAAGTGAGCTTTCGCGCTAAAACTTGATATCTTCACATGTGAAAAATATCACTGTTGTTATGGCTACATAATAAATCGCACCTTTCACACCAAAAAAACTATTTTTAAGTGACATGGTTTGGTATTTCGTTGGTGTTTATATAATAAATAGAACATTACATGGTCGCTTGGAGATACGAAATTTCTCCTCTCGTGTTGAAAAAATTATTTCACTCATTCGCTGCGCTCACTCAGAAATATATTTCAACACTCGAAGAGAAATTTCGTATCTCCGCGCGGCCATGTAATATCCTCTATATCTGTTTTAAAATTGTGAAGCACAAATGCAAGAATAGAGAGAAACGATTTTCCAGTTTTTTTAACTTACATTATTCTTTAAAAATCACTACACATGTAGCTGCAGGAAAATACACGTAGTACTTTTATTGGATGTGATAAATATGTACGTTGTTAAGTATAGAAAAAAAGTGTTGAAAATGTTTCTCCGCCCAAATATAATTCCAGTAGAGGGTGTTTGCTGCAAACTGAAAATCCTCCCCATCACTTTTCTAAGAGGGTCGTACAGGGGGGGTCTCTCGCACGGTTCACGAACAGAAAAAACAGCGAATCACGGATCACGGCTATCAAAATTTCATTTTCCCGAATCACGAAAATAAACAAGTAAGGTACTCGTTTTAATAACCTTCTCTTACGGTAGAAAGAGTGTTTGAAGAAAGAAAAATCGTTAAAGGCTAAGTAAAGGCTGCTTATCGGAAATCACATACCTAAATCACTCTCGATGGACGACTCTGACCATTCGTCCACTTCGCGTTGTAACTGCCCGAAGAAACAACAAATCGTCGAAAGAATCTACCTCGTAATTGTCAGCAATAGGATATTCAGCGTCTGAGTCAGTGTCATACTCTTCCTCCTCTTCTACCTCGGCTTCCTCTACTACTTGAACATCTTCAATGGCCTCGTGCGATGTAGAAGGCGTAACAGTCGTAACGGTCGTAGCAGAAGTAACAGTCTCCTCTTCGACAGTGTTAGGGCTGAATGAGACTTTATCTTTAGGATAGTCTGATGTTCTGTACATGTTTAACGGCAATGTTCCGGCCTTGAACATGGTGGTCTCTTGTCTCACACTTCTCTGTCGTGCAGCCCTCCCATTATTTGTCGCCCACTCAATCATGAGGTCTTTTTCCTGCCTATTTAACTCCCTTCTTGCCTTAAGATGCTCCAGCTTCGGAATGGCATTTAGTGGAGTGCTCTGGCGCAACACGGGATAATATGATTTATCATGTGTGAAGTAGTAGGCACTCCAGGGTACTACACGCTTAATGCTTTCGTATACGGTATTTGCCAGATTCCGTGCGTACTGCAAAAGGGTAGGAAACTGGTCCTTGAAATGACCAACTGCGTGTAGGTTTTCAACCTGAACTGTTAGACAAGAGTACAGATCAATGGCGAAGCTTGGGTTATGTTCTTTAACTAACGCCTCCAGATCTTTCAGTCCATTTAATATCATGTTAACCGAACGCTTTGTCTGATTAGAAATAGTTCCTTGAAAACCCCTTGGTTTACCTGTGCTGGCATCGTTTACATCGTTGCTATGCGACAACGCTTTTTCCGTTGTTGTTTCCAAGTAACTGTCAAGTCCTTCCAGAAGCTCGATTGCTTATGGTAGGGAACGTTTTGGTACAGTCTGAAGTTTCATATGAACAGAAAAGGCTTTATACAGGAGACCAAGATGGCCTAAATACTTTACAATGCCTTTTATTGAGGTAATTAAAGTCGCCGGGAAAATTGAAACGTTTCACGAAAAGTTTCAAGTGACTTGAAAACCATCCTTACAAGGGAATTAACATATTTGCAAATTTTCATAAAAAGTCAGACTGTACTGCATAAATAATTTTGTGCGTAAATCTTTATCCAGTATAAATATGTTTCTATTTATGTTCATTATACTGATAAAAATTTTTGGGCGAACAATTTCTTTCTACCTGTATATTGATATTTATTACTAGTAAAGAATTTTGGGCGAAGAACTCCACGCAAGCTCAATCATTCTGTATAATAATGAATTTGTCCTAGTAAAAAATTTTGGGCGAGGAACTCTTCGCGATATCAATCATTATGTGTGTTATAGGAAATATATACTTGTAAAAAAATTTGGGCGAAGAACTCCAAGCAAGCTCAGTCATTCTGTACAATTATAAAAACATACCAATAAAAAATTTTGGGTGAAGAACTCCACGCAAGCTCAATCATTCTGTATAATAATAAATTTGTCCTAGTAAAAAAATTTGGGCGAAGAACTCTACGCGAAGACAATTTTCCTGATTAATTTAAATATATATTAACTAGTAAAAAAAATTGATTGAGCAACTCCTCGCCAAGACAACCGTTCTGTTGAAAATAACGATATACTAACTCAAAAAAAATTTGGGCGAGGAACTCATTGCGAAGACAACCTTTCTGTTTAAAAGAAGGATATACCAAGGGAAAAATGTTTGCGGTAATTTTTATTCGCGAGATCTCATTTTCGAATACAAAACAATAAGAATTTAAAAAATGCTCTGAGTCCCGGTGTTTTTCTTTTTCTTTTTTTTTTTTGTACTGAACATCTCAAGTTGTGTTTTAAGCACTGAACTGTATGATATACATTGCATACACAGCATACACAGCAAGCAGTTATGTGTTGTTCTTCATTTTAAGGTTCTATGTAGGGCAGCTGTCAGTTTACAATTTTGATTTGAAATATACATGGATAATTGTGTTATTGATTTGTGACAAGTGCCCTCTGCTCAGGATTTACGAAAATAAAACAAAGACGAAAGTTTAGTACGCTTTTACTCTGTTTTTTCTTTTTATTATTATTTTTTGCAATCGCAAAAATTATTACTCGCGAAATCTGGCTAACGATCGAATTTTCGCGAAATTAATCACGCGCGAAAATTAGTAAGAATAAGGTAATTAATACACGGTATTTATTCGATTAACCGCCCTGGGCTCTTGATAAATTTTAGGACCCCGAGGCTGGGCGCTTATTAAAGGTGTTTATTTTGCAACAAAACAATAAATTGTTATAACAAGACGCAACAGATGTAACAAAGCAAGGAGTCCGTAAAATATTAACTTTTTCTCCCTTTATATTGGGCGCTTATTTTAAATGGACGCTAATTCGAGGTTGGGCGCTTATTCGAATAAATACGTTACTTTATTACTCCAGTGTATTTATTTTGGGAGGGACCACCAACGTTCGTTGAACAAAAATAATGTCTTCCGAAGGAATTTCGTCTTCAGGCACTTCAATGTTGTGCGTTTCGTCGAATCCGTCAAAAGAAATGGTACAAACACCATTTCTCACGGTTTGAATTTCTCCCAAGTACCACTTTGTTCCTTCTTCCTCTCCTTCGTCGATTTCGACGTTAACCTTTTTCCGCAGTAGGGATGTCTTTTTTATTCCTAAAGAAATAAAATATATGTGTCATTATTTTCATTGTACCTGCCGCTTGCAGTACTAAAAGCGCTGAATACCAATGAACTTTTTCTGCTTTCCCTTGTAAAATAACTAAGTATTTATTGGTGCCGCTTCTTGTAAATAAACCCGAATTCCAGAATACGGGAAACGTTCCTAATTTTGCTCGTTGAATTCTGTATCCGTGGCTTTGGAATCCGAAATACAGTTCAAGGACTCCGGAATCCTACTAACGATTTAGATCCAGATTCCAAGTTGCACTGACAGAGTCTGGAATCCAGTATTTGGAATCCGGACTCCATCTCATGAAATCAAAAGTTTATTGTTTCATTTCCACTCCATCGTTTAAACCCTTCCCTCCGTCTAATTTGTTACGCGAAAGAGGCCTCGATTGGCTTAAATAATATAATCAAACCAAACGTTGTGGAAAACCATTATGTGAAAGAAAGTATAAAGGAACATATACTTTCTTCTAAGGACTTACTCTTTGACTTTGTCCTCTTTTGCTGTACTTCAGGTTCAAGGTCATCCTGGCGAGCTATTTTGTCAGGTGGTCCTAGGATAAGGAAAAAAAAAACGTCACATTGCGTGGTCACTTTAAAAAGGAAAAGGAGACATGAATTGAAGGAGGCTGAAACTACCAGTCTTTCAAACTTTCACTTGCTTTTTACTTGGTGTCAGGTCTGAACTAGTTAAGGGATGTAGACTGAATTCAGTGTCTTTACTCTTCTAAACCTCTTCCTCCGGTTTGTGCACCCAATTTTCCACTTGCCTTTTCCAGTTTAGTACTGTCGTGTATGTTAGCATTCCTTTTTTATTAGTGCAGTTAATTATGTAATGAAATTCTAAAACATACCGTGAGGATCATGTCCATCTCCTCTGTTTCCCAGGCTCCTCCTCCACTTTCTTCACCATCTTTCTTGCTGTAGACTTGGTCCTGTCATCTTCTTTATTGACGTAACTTATGGTGACATTTTTGGTGACTGCAACCCTCTTAGCAGCGGCGAGTTTATCGCATCTATAAATGTTGTCCACAACACTCCAAAGATTCTTCTTATGGTCTTTTGAACGTGGAATTGAATCTTTGTTGATATGTTCCACCGGATTGGTCGTTTTTTCGGGACAGTCGGTCCAGTTTTTCCCCATAACTGTATATGCGGCTGTGAACATCTCTAGAACAAATAGCAGGAGCACATAATATGTTAGACTGAGAGTGCTGAGAGCTATTCAATTGATTACATATATACAGTTACCAAGGTTATCGTTGAGTCTAGGAAAACTAAATGTAAACTTACTCAAATGCTCTTCCCTCGTCCACCATTTTTTCCAATTCTGAAGCTTTGTCCAGCGAGCGTTGTCTATTTCTTCTTTTTTCATATCCTCGGGAAGAACGTTTTTTACCGACGAAAGTGGAAGATCTCCGCTGAGTACATTAAATATTGCCTGCACCTCTTGTTTTTTAATACAGAGTGGTCAACCTTGCGTGGAGTTCATTGCCCAAAATTTTTTACTAGTATATATTATTATAATACAGAGTGGTGAACCTCGCGTGTAGTTCATCGCTCAAACTTTTTTACTAGTATATATTATTATAATACAGAGTGGTGAAGCTCGCGTGGAGTTCATGGCCCAATTTTTTTTAATAGTATATATTTATATTGATTTACAGATTCGTGGCCTTCGCGTGGAGTTGTTCGCCCAAATTTTTTTACTAGTATATATGTTATGTTAAACTAGATAACGTTTTTACTGAGTAAAGTTGTTCGCACAAATTTATTTATACAGTACTGTCTGACTTTTTCGCGAAACTCGCACAAGTGTATATACCGTCCTTACAACCGACATAGCGAACTTACGGTTTCTTGAGCTTTGAAGAAAGCGGAGCATGTCAATCAAGCTTAATTAATTGCGTGAAGTTAAACTTGAAGTAAAATAGCATCGCGCGTGTTTGAAGCTGTATTTTACCTGAAGTATTTAAAATTTACTTGTCTTGAAATATTTCTAAGTTAACTTTGTGTTACCATCGTCATCCTGACATAGTCGCCGTATTCTCTTGTTCTTCTTTTAACCTTGATTACTTATTAACCTATAGAAAAGTCGGCCCGTATCTTTCAGAACGGTCCTTGATGTCGTTTAATAAGAAGTAAATAAATTCCTACCTTGTAATGAAGATGTATTTCCTGATAGTAGCGGCCTCTCCTTGTCCCATTGCTCTTGTGTATTTATCGCAAAGGCCTTACTGCCATCTTTTCCCTTTTCGAGACGACAAAATTTAAGTTCAACACAGGAGCCGAGGCCACGTTTCTCAGCCTCTGCCTTTAATCCGGCAAATTCCGCGAACTTTTTAGTAAACACTGCCAAAGATGAATGTTCATCTGTAATTGGAAAGCGAACTCGTTCCTTTCCAAGAAAATTAAGCGAGCCGACAGACTTTGGGTCAACGTAAAATTCAATACATTCGACCCTCATCGTACTATACGTACTCGTCCCCTCCATGTCTCGGATGTTTCGATGTTTTGGATCACTGTCCTTTGATCTCCAGTGGCATAGGAGACCATAGGCATAGGAATAGACATCTGATCCATGATAGGCATGTAAAGCACGTGAATTTGCACAATGGATTACTTTAATTAAAGCGAAGTCTCTTACTTGTCACATTTGATGTTTTCAGTCTAAAATAAGTCTTCCAGAGCACTCGCATCTCAAAATCACGCCAAATAGAGTGGTGAAATCACGAATGTCGGTTAATAATTCCAGTTCTTCACGGGTCACGCAAAACCTTCAGATCACGGATCACGAAGAATAATTTATTAAATTCACGTTTCACGGAAAATAAAATCAGCCAATCACGCATCACGGGAATACCCCTGTACGACCCTCTTCTAACGAAATTTTTACCGACATGTAACCCCTTTCTTCACCATTCAGACCCTCTAGAGTATTGCCGAGTAAAAACACAGAGAGACGCCTGGGAACGAATAACCCATAGGCACTGGTTTGCATTTCAGGGCGGAAAAACGTAGTACTTTTATTGGATGTGATAAATATGTACGTTGTTAAGTATAGCAAAAAAGTGTTGGAAGGCGGGCTTTTTCTGTGTTGGCAGTTCTGTGTTTGTTTGTTTGTCACTGAGAGAGTTCTGAATGAAATGCACAAGGTGTGAACGTTTGCTTCTCGAAAAGCCCTTTTACTTTTGTGTGGTTTTTGTTTTTCGTCACTTGAAAATTACTTTAGACTCGGAACAACCAATTTTAAAGGAAAAACGGATCATTCCGTCAGTCTGAGGTGGAATAAAAGTTTTGAGCATTTCCAAAGAGGCGAGTATTTTTCTGATTGTTCATTCGATTTATTTGTGAGTAGATTTCCTGAGATTTCGCCTTCTTTTCGCCGGGCTGAATTAAAACCCGCTTTTTTTTTATTAGTAAATACTTTTTCACATGCCCAGTTTTATTTCCTTTGCAGAACCAGCTTTATCCTTTATCCTTATCATGACTTGGCTGCCAAGTTGCAACTGATCTTTTGCTTTTAAGATCTTTCGGTAGGTTGTTTTCGTACAGAAAATTCATTTTTTCATTGTCAGCAAGAAGTTTTTGAAATAATGTAACTTTAACTTTGTTTAAAGGAAATGCTTCTTACGCGTAGGATTTTGACAGATGTTATGCGTGTTCAACTTGACAACACAAAGCAAAATTTATATCTGCGCGAAACGAGCAAGTTTAAAAAACTATAGTTGCTTCAAAACCGATTTTTGGGAAGATTTTACTAGATAAAGATCGACCTTTTTTCTGCCCACATATCAACGCAATAACTTCTACATTAGTGGTCTGCGAAACTACGAGTGTCCGATCGAGCGAGGATTTAAAAATATCAGCTCGAGTGCGACAAAGTTCAGTGACTTCAAACACATTGTGGGCAAGCGTTAATTTTTTTGGGCAAATCACTGTCCAAAGATATGTTGTTTTTGTGTCCACAGTGGAGCTCCGAACCTTATATATCCAGGAACTTCCTTATATGAACACATTTTGTGAGTGCATCTTGAAAAAAATCGGACCTACGCATGCAGATTTCCAGTACAACGCAAGGAAATTAATGTCGTTAAAGTCCGTTTTACTATGAGGTATTCTTCGAGAAAATTAAGTAACGACAAGGTTATAACCACAGCTTGCAACCTTTGAAGACAAATTGCCTGTTCTTTCCAGGTTATGAGTGGAAACATTTTATTTTTTGGCAATAAAATATTTGAAATCCCGCCATTTTTTCAAACCCGGCCAGGGGAACAGGGCTGAAAAACGACTGCGCATGTGTTATGTCATGCGGCAAAAAACGCAGGCTCAGGCGCGCGCTAATTCAAAATGACTCCAGTTTCGCGGGAAATAAACAGACGGCATTTAAATTGAAAAAATAAGGTCACAGTTAAAAAGATAAGGGTTTAAACAACAGTTTTGAGAAGAAAAAACATTTTCCTTAAAATCTAGTGAGTGTAGAAATTTTGAAAAAATTGTTTTCGCGCCGAAAACGGCCATTCGCGTGATCTTTAAGTGAAGTTGCGAACCCGGCTAATTAGTGAAAATTATCGGCAATGTTTACAACACCTTGTTGGCTTTTTATTGTCATTTTGCCGTCTGTTTTTGGGTGTTGGTTTTCTGGTAAAACCAGAAACTCGAAAGAGGATTGTTATGGCCATATCAAACCCTTACCACCAGGGTTAGCGAG